TATTGCAGTACTTCATATTACGGTTTAATATTGAGACCTTCCTCTTTAATTTGAAGCTATACCGTTAATATTGGATGAAACTAATATGATCAGATTAAGAAATTATTTTTATACTATTTATATGAAAATTAGAATTTTAAAGAAAAGATAACGACATATTTATTGAAATTAAAGCGTCTTACACCATACCAATACAAATTCTAGAAATAAACGCATCAATTTAAACCACATTTGAACATTTTATGTCCTAGAGCAAGAAGAGTCTGAGTTACCCCCGGGTAAACAATTTCCCCATAAAAGTCAGAGACACCTTCAGTGGATGTGAAGCTCGTTCTGATCTACCCGTTCGGGTAAACACGATTGCCGATTGATTCTTGGATGTCACGTTCGGGCACGTCAACTGCTATAGTCAATAGACTCGTTTGTGTAGTTAATATCTTCCCCCATTGGATGGTAAGATCCGGTGACGACCTACCGTAGGCTAGCGGGAGTTTCCCCAACAAGCTATCTCCCACCAGCAGGGCATCGCCCCAGCCAGGACAAGCTCTTAGCTCCCGACTGTTCTCCAGGCATGTCTAGTAGTGTAGTGCATGGTAATGCATGTGTGTGCAAGAGGAGAGGTTAGGTCAAGGAAGTGGAAGGAAAGATCACGCCCGGTCCATGACCCGTTTGTTATGACCCTGCGACAGCATTCACCAAGAATTGATCACACAAAACACGGAAAAATACCGAGCAGAGCCGCTAGAATTCTCCTCCAGACAGCGACAGGACTCTATCTAGCTAACTGCTACTGACGAAAACCCCTCACTGTCAGAACTCGCGAACCCTTGGACTTTCTGGACAGATTCTTTGTAGAGACAGTGGCATACTGCAGACAATGCCAAACCTGAGCTACATTCGCTACTAAACACGAGAGTGCGCACACAATCCAGTAAAACTACTAAGAAAGGAATCCGTCGATTATTGGATACGTGTCTGTAGTATCCTGAATGTCAGTGCGCGTAACTCAGTTTCGGATACAGACCTCTACAGGGCAAGTAGCGTCCCGTCTGCTCCCTTACAATAAGGACCCTTCTGCGAACCAAGATGAACATTGCATTTTGTTTGATTGCATGATTGTCTGTCATACTTTTACTACTAAAACATACTAAAAGGTTACAACTATTCGTAGACAACCAGGATGTTGTAGGAAAAACAGTCAATTTAATTAAAATGCAAATTTTTATGATATGAATTTTAATTTAATTACGAGAACTTCAAAGACAAAATGAGAAAAATTAACTAAATGTATATGTTATTTAAACTTTAAAACAATAATTTTAATTAAAGTGACTGTTTCCCAATAAAATCCTAATCGTCTATAATTAATTGGAACCTATTATCAATAAATGATGAACATTTCATTGGAAGGATTGCCGGAAGAGGAGTCGCACACAGTCTCCCTCGAGTTGAAAACACGAGCCGCAGTTCACTGACCCGGGCGCGAACCGGTGAATACGGACTGCCTCCGTGAGCTGTAGGCGGCCAGGAGACGCCTAACCGCTATCGGGCGAAAGAGCCGCGCATGCTCTTCTTCAGAGGAGCAAGCGGTGATCCACTGGAGAAACAGTTGCTGCGCAAGCGGCGTTCACGTGGGCGCACGGCGCCGCACGCAGCCGCCCCCGCGGTCAACGCAGCAGTAAGTTACGGAGATCCCGCGGCGGCGCGAGATTTACACGTCCCCGATGGGTCATTGCGCCAACAACTGAGCAGTCGGGGAGGGGAGATGCTGCGGGCGGCGGCGGCGGAGGCGAGGCAGATCTGGATCAGGGGCGTGGGTGGGTGGAGGTGCGTTGAAGGGGTAGCGGTAGGGTCAGACGTGACAGTGGGTGAAGGAGGAGGTTGGAGCGTGAGGAGGGGAAGGGGACGGGGCGGAGGCATGTGACGAGGCGGGGACGAGTGCGGAAAGGGGCAGAGGCGAGAGCTGGGGCGTGGGTAGTGGAGGATGCAGAACGGGTGATGAGCGGGGGCTGGGTAAGTAGGGAGTGGAATGGTGGTGCGACAATTGTGACAGTGACTGTGGGATTCTGGATGTGTCAGTACTTACGTGAGTCCAAGGGTACGATACGGAGTTTGGCGGTAGTTGAGGACAGTTAGCAAACTTGGGATGAGCTTTAAGGCGACTGAAGGCAATTCGCAACAACAGTGAAGTTGGTTGTTCGCAATTAAATGAAGTTAACGGCGGAAAGAGAAGGAAGCCGGTTAACTGTTTACAATAGTGAAAGCAATTATTGGTGAATAATGACGTGTGCGATAGCGGCAGGTGGCTTACCTTGAGAGCCGTTGACAGTTTTATCCGTTTCGTACCCTTGGGTTCACGTGAGTACCAACGCATCCAGAATCCCATAGTCACTGTCACAATTGTCGCACCACCATTCCACTCCCTACTTACCCTGCCCCTGACGCAGCCCCCGCTCATCACCCGTTCTGCATCCTCCACTACCACGTCCCAGCACTCGCCTCTGCCCCTCTCCGCACTCGTTCCCGTCTCTGCACCCGCCCCGATCCCACATTTGTCCTCTTTCCTACCTCGCCTTCACGGCAGTTACGGGCAATTCAAAATTAAGTAACGTGTTTGCAGCAAGGCCAGTGGGAATGAAGTTGCCAGTGGAGAGTGCGTGCAGCGAGAAGGGATTCCAGCTACGGAGGCAGCCTCCAATGAGGGCGAAGTTCTCTGACGCGGTGGAAGTTGCGGCGGATGGAGGCGCGAGAACAGGCTCCTGGAGGGCGCGCGGGGCCGAGTCGCACGTGGATGGAGGCGAGATAACGCAATGGCTCAGAGGTCGCTCGGCCGGAGTCGGCGGCAGGCGAACAGGGGTGCCACAAGGTTTAGCACGAGGGGTAAGTGAGTTTGAAGAAATGTAGAGTTAAATTGTAGAATGATGACGTATAACAGAACTTTTAACAGGAATATGCGGCGAGTAACTCGTAAAATGTCAGGGATGAAGTAGGGTACACTTAAAAGGAAAAAAAATGCCCAAGTACTTGAACATACGTGGGCATGTTTACTGGTCTACTTCAAAGAAGAAGTGTTATGTTTCTCACAGTGAACTTCGTGAGTTTCTTTCATACATGTTGATCCAGTTCTGCTTTCGGATGCTGATAATGAAGTGTGTTTATTTTCTGTGTATGAAAGTTATTTTTCTCTACTTGGAAAATAGTTAAACATCCATATTGCGGGCGCAAACAAGGTCAAGTGTTAAATGATTTAATTTCGGAAGATATTGAATGTAATTTTTAGTATATACCTTCTATAGAAGAAGAGCTTATTTGCTTTTCTTACAGAAAGATATTCCTGTTGATTTATGGAGTAATAGAAGAGGCTAATGGATGGAGAATTCTTTCCAAGTATTCCACGTTTTCCTTCGAAGAATAACATTTTAAAAACCTTCCATTATCATAATGACCTCGGCGTAAAGAGTGACCGTGAAAAGAGAGACAAACGATGCAAATATTTCATACTTACGAATAAAACACGGAGACACGAACCAGATTTGTACAAGTATCCAGTATCTGAAAATGAGGTTGCTATTGCTACTACTTCTTTGCTTATGTTTGTTAGTGAACGCATTGCGCTTTGCTCATACATGGCGGTGATCACGTGCTTCAAAACATCAAAGTCATCAAGTACATCAAAATTTGAGAAAATGAGTGAGAGCAATACGAGCTAGGAGAGCGGAATGAATCGAAAACATAGCGAGGACGAACGAGGAAGAACCTCGAAACAAGAAGGATAAAGGATGGAAGAGATTCCACGACATGGTGAAATCATTGATCGGAAGCGGAAGATCTGTGGGGACGGTGAACGAGATATTACGGAGAGGGACGACCGAAAAGAATAGCAAGAATGACAGAAGCGAGGGAACGGGATGGATCGGAAACAAAGGGAAGATGTAGGGTGAAGAAAACGTTTTTTGAAAGAGAAAGAAACAATAGGTTCGTAAATGTTGGACGAAGCGGTGAAGAAGCAGGAGAAAAGACGCCATAACGAGTAGGACAAAGAGAACGCCGGGGAGCGGAAACGAAACGATATAAACTCGAGAGAGAATGAGATTGTATCAAAGATATGAAGAGAGGGAGTAAAAGTCGAGAGAAAAGGGGCGGTAAATGGGGGTGAATAGACGACGAGAGCGGCAGAACTGGGAGGGGAGAGCGGGACGGCAGCGAGGAGAGACATATCGGGGGACGCGGTGTAACGAAATACGTGCACTAGGCAAGGAAAAAGGAATGGGAGAAAGGATGGAGAGTCAAAGTACACGAAGCCGAGCAACAAGGATAGAAGGTGTCGGTCCGGATGGCCGAGATCGCTGAGGCAGCAGTGCCGTAGCGATCTCGGACCGAAGGATCCCGGATTCCAGTCCCGCCTCGGGCACGGTTGCATTTGGGTTTATCCTTCCACCACCTTTTATCATTATATCATGTCATCTTCACAGTTTCCACACCTTTCAATGCCATAGTTATTGCTAATGACCTAGATGTTGATGCGACCTTAAATAAGGAAAAAGGGATAGGAGGTGATAGATATTATTTTTGCAGTTAGGTTCACGCAACCCGATGACAGGGCAGTACAATTTACAAAAAATACAATTAGTAATATTAATACAATGGAATAGGAAGGATATTAATTCAACGGAATAGGGGAGCTAGGATATGAAAATATCGCGAACAAGGGAAAAGGGGGCGGGGCAGCCAGAGAAGGCCTGCGGAGACAGCCCAGCCGGAGCGGAGGCGTGTGCGGGAGGGGGATCCGCAGATGCTGCTGCGTCGGCAGTCAGGTCCCTGGCCCCGCCGCGCCAGGCCCGGGCCATCCCTTCGCGCCCCTCCCCTCCCCTCCGCCCCGCCCCGCCCCGCGGCTCCCTCACAGAGCGCATTTATCTTTATAGAAATCTGTCCGTGGAAACTGGAAGAGAGCGCCGGCTCCTGCGGGAGCGAGGAACCTCTGTAGATAAATAGCGCGGGAGTCACGGCTGCCCTCGCCCGCCATTCTTCCACATTCCCCGCCGCCTCGCCGAGCATTCGACAATTTTCGTATCTGTTCGGCCGCATCGCTCCGTTTTCTTATTCCGCGCTTCCTTAACCGCTTGGTTCTCCCGGGCTTCGCTGATAATTTCGCCGCGAGTTTCCTTGTTTGTGATGTTCGCGCTGGCCTTGATCTCCGGGGAATCGCGATATGGGTCGTCAAGAGTAAACAAGCCAATGTCGATAATATATGTCAAAATAGATATTCTTGCACAAAGTTGAATTGGGAGGATGCATTTCACGTGAGTTGAACGCAAATATCGAGAACCGCTTAAAGAAATCTGTACTCAAGGAATTGCTAAACTTTATCAAATAATGAATTGATATATTACAAATGAATATACGGCGTTTTCTCATTGTCAAGGTAAGAAAACCGTGCTCTTTGTAACAGCTTTGCGCGTTTGTTCTTTAAGAGACATAATAATTTTCTCTATTGTTTTCAATCATTTTAGGTATTCTAATTCAAATAAATTCTTTATAATAAACTAAGCGGTGTCTTTAACTTTTGTTCCTGCCAAATTTACTGCATACGAAACAGTTTTTCGAATGTCAATTGTGCATTGTAAATAAGTTAAACATGTGAAATCAGACATTTTCAAGTGCAAAAATATAAACTGCTAAAACAAGAATGTTTAAGTGATAATGTTCTTAAATACTCTCAACATAAAAGTGTAAATAATTTAAAATTAATGTCATATTCGCTTTTCAATTATAAATTTAGCAAAACGTAGTAACGAAGAAAACATATCCATGACATATCTTTAACGGTATAACATAATTTCATTAAATAATGGAAATATTGATTACTTTTTCAAAAATATATAAATGAATGTTACAATACTGTACGTACATACTAACAGATACACCCTTGAATCGCAGAAAAGGTATTACATCTTGTACGAATAGTACCATTTCCGGGTCACTCAGAAAGAGAACAGTCGAAAGCGAGTGCAATGGCGTCAGCCGCAAAAGGTCACCTAAACGCTAGACAAAACGCCAGCGAAAACGCTTTGGCGCGTAATATTCGCGTGGCATCTCTACTCACCCGCACGGCGCGCGGACGAGGGCTGGCGTCGACATTCCATTCAGCGCAATCCAATTCCATTCATTTCGCGCCGTAATTCGGCGGCGGGTCGGCGGGCGGGCGGGCGGCGACCTTCGGCAGCGGAGTGCCCGGTGACAACCGGCGGCGGGGCGAAGCGCGCCTAAAAATCTGGTAATGAGGAGGGCGCGTGGGGAAGGGAGGGGGAGAGGGAGGGGTCGGGCCGGGTGGAGTAGGGGGGGGGGTGCATCTTCCATTTCCGGCGCTGCCGCTGACGGCGCGTCCCCCGGCGCCACCGCTGCGCTCTCTGCCTCCATTTCCTGCGCGCCGCATATTGGGCACGCCGTCGCTCGCTCCACGCCACGCATCGCTGCGTAGCTCCCAGCCTCGCACCGCACCACGCCGCGCAGTGGGCCAGCATTGATGTGTGTGCGGTGCAAAGGTTGGTGCCACTGGGCGAGTTTGGATTTCGAAGGGCAGGGCCAAGCGTTTTTCGAGACGTGGGAGTACGAGGTTGATGACACCACGCCGCTCTACTCCACGCCCCTCCACGCCCAGCTGCGGAGCTCCCAGCCTTGCCAGTACCAGTGATCTCAACATTATACTACTACAATGCTTTGAAACGCACAAAATCTGTGACGATCGTTTTTCGCTCTGCCTTCAGTTTTTCTTACGAGTGAAATATGGTTTGTGTGTTGGTGATGTCATGATCGCATCTGTCAAAGAAAATTAAAAGGTATTGAGTAGCATTCGGCGGTATATGAAGCCAACAAACTGTTAACTAGATGCAAATGTTATTAGATGAGATATTATTTGGTAGACATTACATGAATAATATTTTTTAGGTTTCCGACGACTATTATCTGCTATAACGAAATTATTAAAGATACGCAAAACAAACACATTCCCTATTCCATGAACTCACCTGTGTAAAAGTTGCAATTTTAAAATGTTAAATATTGGTTACTTTCAACTTTTTATTAGGTTTTCGTGAAAATAAAAGAGAATAAATGTTTAAAATCCGAATGAGAAGCTAATTCCTGCTATTTGGTTCTGAGATAATAGAGACCGAATAGACGTTCACCATCATGACGGACAGTCACGATTTCTGAGCACAGTGTTGCCTCCAGTCTCACTGGTCAGTGCTGACGTGGTGGGGGGCGCAAAGGTTGGCTTCACTGGACGAGTTTGGACTATGAAGGACAGGACTCATTTTTTCAGACGTGAGCGAGTACGAGGTTGGTGACATCAAACGCAGTTGATTTTAAAAGGGTTTGATAAAATTTCTTTCCAACGAGTATGAGAGTAAAAGTGTTATAAATAGGGAATACTTGATTTTCAGAGGAAGGGAGCAAAGATGTTTCATTGTTGGCGTGCGTGCAAGAAAAAGGTTAATAACTGAAGGGAGTTGATTCTTAAACGGCAGGAAAAGATTTTTCAGACGCATGTAGGCACAAAACGTCATTAACAAAGGACGCTATTGATTTTAAAAGGGCAACCAATGTCTTTTTTCAAACACGTGTTCAAGTAAACGCTTGGGAACACTGTTACTTTCGAAGGTCGGGAAAGGCGAAGGCTTGAACCTTAGTACTCATGAAAGTTAAAAGTAGGTAACCCTGGGCAAAGTTGGACGTGATTGGAATCAAATATAAATAAAATAACTTTGCAAGATGTCCGAAAAAAATAAATTCTCAATCAGTTTCTGTCCTTATGGCATTGAATAAGAGCTGTATCAAGGAATAGGAGAATTTAAATGAGACAGTTGTTGTGTCTATTTCGGACCAAAGTCGCAATTGTGTAAAAACGCTGGGTGCCCATTGAGATGTGAAAGATAGTCACAGCAATGCAGACCGTGTCAACGATGAATTGGTATTTATAGTTTGCCATTACAAACATTATGAACACCCTCATATCAATCTAGAACAAATCTACAATTTACTAAAATGCTAATTTTAATTTTTTTCTATTAAGAGTATTCCTTTCCTTACCTTACGTTCCTGGAAAATACTTTTTTTCGGTAGAATAAAAAACGAACTCGTAAAATATACGTCTGCCCTATAGATAAAGTAGAACATCCAACGACGCAGGTATATTCTATCTTGAGTAACACAAACAAAAGTCGCTCTTACATTCGTTCTGTAGTGTTGTCACTTTTACATCGCATGGCTTAAACACGAAACTCGAATTCAGTATTTCAAAACGATTCCTGAAGGACTTCCGAAAACAGCTGACTGCGATGGACGTAAATATACAGATGAAGCTGTACTGTGCTGAATGTACTGTGAACAACCCCTCACTCAACCACTAGCTTTTCAGTATCTTCTTTGATATTTTTCGTTTGTTGAAGTTATTTTCCCCGCAGCAATAACTGAATTGTTTTCATTCAATTCAATGATTACAAGATATTTAGCCAAAAACGCCTTTCCACGCAGGTCATGTTAGTCTGAAAATCCATTGAAATACCACTTGTTTACCTGGTGGTAAACGTTGGTGTGCACCTGCACTAAAAATGGAGATACGATCTTTCTTGCGGACGTATTTGTTTTGATAAAAAGCGAGATAACGCCGCTTCGGGGAGTCGACCTTCTTGCTTAGTGGTTCTGCATATGCGACTGAGACTATAATAAGTCTGGATCGGCGTATTCAACATAAGCTCTCTTGGACAATTTGTTTACAAATTCCTTTTGAGATAAATGAGAAAGAGTTGTAATATAGTTGTAATATAGTATCATAAAAAGAGGGACGCCGATTTGAAACAAGGTGTATTTGTGTGTATCATATGAAATTTCATTATGGTGTATGATTAAAAAAACACGATGTATTTTTTGTAAATAGCTGTAAGAAACATTTTTTTGAGTTTATGTAGAAACGATTCAACAAATGAAGACCTTATACATATTTCTTGTTACCATTACGTCAAGACTTCCAGAACCACGTAAAATAAACTTGTAAAATTAGTTTTTAAAATTTCCTGCTCCAACAACAGGGAAAATAAATGTTAACTATTTGTTCTCTGATGTCTGTTTGTTTTTTTGTAAAGTATAGTAGTTGTAGACCTTGTCATCTCTCCTTAGGCACCCAAGTTTTGCTTATGGAGGCGTGATTCATGCGATCCGAGCAAAATAAATTTTCTTGGTACTCTGCTTTGATCCCTATTCTTCTTCCTCGCTATCGCTTACTCGGAATGAAGTGTGTTTTGATAAAAATATAAGTAATAAATAAAGGATTAAAGGAGAATTGGGGTGGGGGTTCACGAAATTATAGATTCCGTAAATAAAAATTCCATTTAGTAATATACATTTTCCATTATACTTCTAACATTTAGACAATATAATGGATTTATTGAGACTTCCGGCTGAGTCAATTAACTTCTTTCAAACAGAAGGATAAGAGCCAACCTTTTAAGCCTTCACATACTCTCGGTAGTTGATAGAAAGACACTGACAGCAAGACACTGTAATAATACATTTAAACCATCCGTAGTTCGAAACAACAATGTCGTACATGTCTTCACTGATAGTTTGTGACGTCAGACAGATCCAACTTACAATCTAGGTGGCATTAATGCGTCATCGTGAGCTCAACTTCTCCATTCCGAAAGGTTTTTCATTTCGTTCGCGAAATATATGATTCTTGTAGATTAGTCTGTTAGCATTATGTGAAGAAATTGTGAAGGAAATTTAAAAAAGTTTGTGAAGAAATTGTGTAGAAATTTAAAGTTAGAAATTGGGTTAGTGTATTTCAGTCATTATTTTATTGTACGTAGATGATGTTTAAATACTCAATATAACAAAATAGGATTTGCATTTAATTCAACCAGTAAAAAACGAAGTTTAAACTAGCGGATTGTAGCAGCAAAAATGTTGCTGTTGAGTGTGTGGAAAATGAAGACCTGGAGCAGCAAAAATTGGCTGTTCTGAAACGGCACTCTCAAAAACTGAAACTTAATTCTTTCTCGACGCATGATGTCGGCTTTGTCGTAAGCAGAAACGCACTGCGTACGATAATTCAGTCGGTACGCACTGGTGAAAATAGAATGAACAACACATTCCAATATTTTACTTCCAGTCAAAATCGACACTGTTTCATTGATTTTGAATTTTGTTTACAATTTATGAGTATATAACGAAACAATTGATTCCTCTCACGTGGCACCAGACATCTTAGAGTACCACCAGTGTATGCGTATGCGAAATCACTAATCTTAAATAGTAATTTATGAAGGGAGAGATATCCAAATCAAGCAATATCGCTTGTTATTTCAATATCTTAAGTTATTCAAGCAGATGTCCATGCAAATTCAAACAAAAAATTAAAAAGAATGACTATTATGTCGCCCCAACATTTCATATTTTGTTACTATAGTCTGTACATTTCAAAGTAGCACTTCAGTGAGTTTTCTAAATATATTACGATTGCTTTTACCAATTTTTGGCTCAGAGCATCAACTGATGTTGACAGTATTTTCGACACTAGCTAGATAGCTAGGTCGAATTCTATTGCTATCTGAAGGAGAATTCTAGCGGCCGGCTGTTCTGATCGATAGTTTACAATGATTTTTTGGATTAACACTAGGCAAATCCCGGAGAAGTACCCTAACGAGTCATGGATCGCACGCAATCTTCTCTTTATCTTCCTTGTCCTTTGCTCATTGCTTGCACACATACACACACACACACGAACACTTACTACACTACCACTCACGCCGGGAGACTGGTCGGGAGTTTATAGCTTGTCCCATATGGGTCTGTGTCCCGCTGGCGGGGGTGAGGGAAAACTCACGTAGGACGATAGGTCGGCGCCTGGATTCACACCCAGGCGTAGGAAGTCAACCGCACTCCAGAGGAACACAAAACGTGCATTCACATTTACGGGTCTATAATTACCTCAGCGGTCGACGTGCCGGATTTACTAAGTAGTCGCAGCGCTTTCGTCGTGGGGCTTCGGTCCGCCCCGGCTCCGGTCTATCGGGCGCGGTCATTAAGCCGCAGCGCACGCGCTCGGGGCTGGGCTGGGCGGGGCCTGGGCCGGTTCCCGCTGCGGCGGCGGATCGCCGCCGCAGAGCGGGGGGGGCGGGGCGGGGCGGGGCGGGGGCAGGGCGGGGCGGGGCGGGGCGGGGCGGGGCGGGGCGGGGCGGGGCGGGCGGGGGGGGGACGGGGCGGGCGGGGCGGGGCGGGGCGGGGCGGGGCGGGAAGGGGCGGGCGGGGCGGGCGGGTTGCGGGACGGGGCGGGGGCGGGGCGGGGGCGAGGCGGGTGGGGCGGTGGCGGGCGGGGCGGGCGGGGGATTGTGATTCGGGCGCCAAGCACACTCACCGGGAATTTGGTCTCCGCGTAGGCACGGGTGGAGGGGCTGCGGGGGCCAAATGTGGGGGCTGCAGGGTGAGGTTGTATGGGGACAATGCCGAGAATAGTATATTCTGGCCTGTCGTAAAGGTGATGAGAAAAAGAGGCGGAAGAAAGGACAGGGGAGCGGAAACGTGGGAGTGGATTGAAATGAAGGAGTATGATTGTGAAAGTCAAAGAATGAAAGGACGTTAATTACTTTAAAAGGAGATGAACACGTGGAAAACAGATAATAAATACTGTATGGATGAGGTAATACTGAAAAAATCGGGGAGTTGGTATTGCTACTAAGTTTCGTGCGTGTGAGGTTAGTGCGATATAGTGCGCTACATTTTCTGTCTTATATCGGAATGATTCGTTGACCTGGTAGGTTGCGTCGGATGAGAGCGCCAAGAGAGGGCGATCGGAGTCCCTGGCCTCGCCTGAGGAAGAACGAAATGTAAAAATATGCAGTTAGCGTTTTTGAAAAAGAATGATAATACCACAGATGCAGATAAAATGCTAACATAATAGAAGATGGGAAATTACGAAAAATTAAAAGCTTAAAGAAAGTAGATATTTCAAACTGGTAATTCAGGAGCAATGTTTGATGGTGAAGATAAATGTATGGAAGGCGGGAGTGGAGACGGGTAACTGAAGATGGTGGGCGTTAAGGATTAGCAGCAGGTGGACGGTGAGAATAGAGAAGCGGGGGAGCTAGGGAATAGAGCAGCGGGTGGTAGGGAATTGAGTTGCAGGTTGTAAGAAATAGAGCGTCGAGGTAGGCGGGAGAATGTTGAGGCCGAGTGGAGCAGAATGGTGGAGTGGGGGAGGGATAGTGCAGGGTACGGCTGAGAATTGAGTAGTGGGCAGTCGAGCGTGCGGTGCGGACGCCTGTGCGCGAGGTAAAGGGGTGAAGACATACGTGCGAAGGTGGTGGCGGGGGTCGGCATGGGTGGCGGGTAGTGCCGGTGCGCGTGCGAAGGGAGGGGGTAGGGGACCTGCAGCTGCGAAAGTCAAAGCGAAGGGGAGAGGAAAAAGGTGGTGGGCGTAGTAGGCCGGGTGTGAGAGAGGGAAAGGGCGAGGAACAGTGCGGGGGTGGAAAGGAAAGGGCACCGTGAGGTGCGGGCGCGATGGAAGGGGAGGAAGGGGTAGTGATGGGTGCGGAGTGAGGGTCAAGAGAGGGAGAAGGGGGAAGGCAAGTAGGAGGCAGGTGCGCAGGTGGAAGAAGCAGGGCGGGTCAGTGTGAAGGCGGATGCGGAAAGAAGGGAAAGAGGCGTGCTGTGGGGAAGGGGTGGAGATGCAGAGGGAGAAGGGGTCGTTGGGCGTTTGCGGAGCGAACGCGAAGAGAGGGGGGGAGGGAAAGAAGTGCGGAGGGTGGGAGGAAGCGACGAACATGCGGGGCGGGCGCGAGGGAAGGGAGGAGGTGTGGTGTTCGGTGGGCGGTGGGGGGAGCGCAAGAAAGAGACAAGGGGAGGGGCAGTGCGGATGTCGTGCGAAGGGAAGGAAGGGGCGTGGGCGGTGCGTAGTGTGTGCAGAGAGAGAAAGGGGGAGGACAGTGAGGAGGGTTGAAGGAAGGGGCGAGCATGAGGAGCGAGTGAGAAGGAAGGGGCGGATGGGTAGTGGTCGGTGCGGAGGAAGGGGGCGAAGAGAAGGGAAAGGGGAGGGAATGCGGAGGCAGGTGCGCGCGTGGAAGGGAAGGGGCGGGGACTGCGAATGCCGGGTGGGAAAGTGGGTGGATTGGAATGAGAAGGGGGTTTCGGAGGCGTGTCGGTGGGTGCGGTGGGCGCGAAGGAAGGCAATGTCGGGTGGGTTGGGTGCGAAAGGCGGGCCGCGAAGAGCGGGGAGGGCGAAGAGAGAGGGAAGGGGAGGGGAGTGAGAGGAGGTGCGCAGGTGGAAGCAGGAAAGGGTGGGAAGTGGCGAAGGCGGTGCGAAGGGAGGCGCGCAAGAGGGGGTGCTCCTCGGAAGCGGGGTGAGATGGGAAGGAGAACGGGTGGGGGGTTGGCAAGGCGGGTGCGAGCGAGGGGGAAGGTTGCGGAGGCGCAGGGAGTAAGAAATAGGGCGTGCTGCGGGGGAAGCGGGGTGTGATGGAGGGTAGAAGCGATGGTGGGCGTTCGGGAGGGGCGGGGGAGGGCGTAGGCGCGTGAGGCGGAAAGCGCCGAGCGGGGGCCGCGGCGAGGCGCGCCGAGGAATGGCGCCGAGAGGCGGCGGCGCGCCGAATGAGGCGGCGCGCGGCGCTGCCGGCGGAGTAATACGCGCAGGACGGGAGCAGCGGCGGTGGAAGGACAGGCGGCGTAAATGTGGGCGAGGCGGCTGGCAGGCGGCGGGGCGGCGGAATGCCCGGACGGGCGACCACCGCGCACGGGGCTCCGACGAGCCGGAATTGACTACGACGGCGAGGCACCGCGGAGTTACGGTGGGGAGGGCAAAGGAAATGGAACGGGGACGCCGTTGGCTGGGGATGCATGCAGCTGCTGCAATGTGGTGCACAGGGGATGGAGGGGGAGTGGTGTTGGGAATCTCTGCCTGTTTGTGAGGACGTAACTAGTAGCTTGAATGGCTGTAAGAGAGGTGACCACAGAAGGGCAGCAATTAGCGAAGATGGGGACGAGGGACAGAACAGGCGGTGTGTACTGCGAGTGCGTGGGAGATGAGCGCAAGAGTGGGTTGGTGGTCGTGTTTTTTGCCGGAGCGCAGAGCGACGGTGTGCGCGTGAGAGATGGCGAGGCCTATTTGGCGAGCGACGACACCATGGCGCGCCTTCCAAAGGATGCTGCTGAGAGTCTCGCACGTGCGGCGGCGAGATGAATGCAATATGCCGCGCGCGTCAGAGGCGCGGCGTGGGATTGGAGGCGCGTATAGCGTGAAGGTGGCGGCTAGGGCGGTGCGAGGGTGGCGGCGAGGACGGGGCGAAGCGGGGCGTTGGGCGGCGGCGAGGGGGCGCGAGGGCGGCGGCGAGGGCGGCGGCGAGGGCGGAGGGGAGGGCGGCGGGAGGCGGAGGGCGAGGGCGGAGGCGAAGGACGGCGGCAGGGCGCGGCGAGGGTGGCGGCGAGGGGGCGGCGAGGGCGCGCAAGGGGGCGGCGAGGGCGGGGCGAGGCGGCGGGAGTGCGGCGGCGAGGGCGGCGGCGGAGGGCGGCGCGAGGCGGCGGCGGCGAGGCGGCGGCGAGGACGGGGTGAGGAGGGGCGAGGACGGGGGAGGACGGGGGAGACGGGGCGGAGGGCGGAGCGGGAGGACGGAGCGAGGACGGGGGAGGACGGGGCGAGGAACGCGGGGCGAGGACGTGGGAGGACGGGGTGAGGATGGGGTGAGACGGGGCGGTTACAGGGCAATGGCCGAGCGAACGCGTGCGTCACCACGAAGCGGCGCGAGTCTACTGTGAGGCTGGCGTTGGCGCATGCGTGCATATATTTGCAGACTGCTGTGAGAATATCGTGACTCTATATTCAAAGAGACTGTGTCACAGTGGTGACGCTTTAGACTCAGTAGCTAACAATGTTGCTACGCGTAAATCTATTCTCTTAGTGGGACTTGCAAGTATACTCTGATGTACGGCAATACACGCAATGAACCAAGGGAAGATAAAATAATTTAGTGAAAATTGGATGGTGGTTTCTGAAGACGTCGCTATCTAATTGCATGGAGTAAAATAATTAAATAAACACAAAATTCAATTAAACATTTCAACCGTGGTGAAGTGTAAGTATAATAAATAATTATGCAAGATTTGGTCATATTTTATGGAGCATCATCATCTTGTCGTATGATAAGACATATGTGAAGATATTTGACTCAATGTTTAGAAATGTGTTGACCTCATATTATTATGATAACAACAAATAAAAGGGGTTTTGTCTATATAGAATATTTAGTACGATCTGCGATTACACGATAAAATTTCGGCTAACACTAATAATTCTGTAAACTGATAATTCTGGTAAACTGAAAAAGTCTACAGATTATTATTTCCTTTACACTTCAGGATTACATAATAATTATTACAAAAACTATTTAAGATGCAATTACTTCTTGAATGCCTTTTACGTGATCCTGAAGTATTTATTCTTGTTCTTTTGTTTTATATTATATATTTAATATTGAAATTTGCTTGAATTTTAATGGTATTATTACTGTTTAACTTTGTATTCATTACTCAAGTTCTTTTCATAACTTCACGACTTGATTATGCATGGTTTGTTTTGTATTTGAAAAACAGAGTATTTTGTGTTATGAATCAATTAATTTTATTAGACTTATGGAATCTGGCAAATGAGAACTGTTCAATAGTCTATTTAGATATCTATAATATCAAGCTATGACTACTCAAATGGAATCTGGATACTAAATCTAACCTTAGTAAGTGTTAATAAATAAAGACTACAGATACACAACATGGTATATTATTCCAAAACGCTCATTTGCTGTTTTCATTAGGCCTAATTCAATTCAACTTCACAAATGAAATGTATGTGCGATGTATCTTTCAAAATATATATGTGTATCAATTTAGTAATGTCCAAATACCAGGATATGTGAATAATATTTTTAGTATTTAGTAATAATAATAATTAATAATAATAATAATAATAATAATAATATAATAATAATAATAATAATAATAAAATAATATGAATTCATCAATAATTTTTTTTTCTTGGTTAACGAATGTATACTACTTTATGTAATTTTTGCAATATGTAAATCATGCGTCTTCAAAATCAAGTGCCAAACACAAATAAGTGTGAACATTTTATCATTCGCCGAAGATTTCGGAACGCGTGCCGGGGAGTAGAGAGATCGCTGCGCCCAGCGAAGAGGCTGACTCAACGCTGGGTTTGTCATAACGGGAACTGGGTTTTGCCCCGCGCTTAACTTTAACTTACCTTTAAGGAGATTGCTGAAAAGTGGTGTCCTTCGCTTGATGGTATTCTTGACCTCCGGGAACATATTCTGATTACCCTTTGAAGTAATCTCGAAGAATTGCTGCTATTGTTTTCTTCAATAGAGGCTGTTTGCGCGAGAACGCGTAAATATTTTCATAGAGATTGTTTGTTAACCTTGCGAGATTTCTTTTCACCTTCACTTGTGCAGGGCATGATCACTTTCGACACTTGTTTTCAATTAACATTCCATGAGTGAAGTTTCCATGCCAGTTAAAGTTGTCTACCGTATGGAATATTCACGCCGGAATCACTAACCCCTGGGTTGACAAGCCCTGGAACCAGGGCTCGATAACGTGGAGGAGCAGGCGCATCATTTGGGAAAGATAAAATTGTGCAACGCGGTACTACATTTCGAAGATTTATAGTTATTAACGTAGATAAACTGCAATGTAGTATAAATAATTCTCAAATTGATGTATTGTTTGTTTCGCAAATGTGGAACACAAACAATATGACAAGAAATACTTTCAATTCTGTTTACATCAAATAAGAGGTTCTGTTGATACACAAGGGTCTAAAATATATGTCCTCCTATTAGCATAATGTGTATTTTTCGGGGACAAAGTGAGTTAATATCAAATTGGGTTATCGCACGGATCACGAAATTCTCTCAAATACACAATTTTTTTTTATAAATAGATATCTGCAGTGTAGAAGTGAGTCGTGATACATACTGAATTGCTACATTATTTCACTGGAGTAATGATGGTCTAATTGGTTCTTCATTTTGAAAATATCCAGATTTATTGCTTTATTTGCGCTGAAGATTGTGTAATATCATTTATTTATTAATAATTTAAACACTTTAATAATTAAAAATAAAATGTAATCGAATTATAGGTTAATGGTATACGATATTCAAACAATGTAAAGTAATATACGTGAAAAATCGTAGATTTTTTCGCCAGAAAAATAATTAAAACGTGTGTAACAAATCATTTGCACAGATAGTTGGCTAGTTCATTATTGCGTGGTCTTTCGTCCTTACTTGCTTAGAGCTGACACTCCTGCAGTGCGGCGAATCCCTGCGACGGGCGACGCCGACGGCCTGACCTCGGGGCCTGGCTGTGAGTCCTCCGACGTCGCTCGTCGCGCCTCGACGCACGCTGCGATGGCGCCGACGCTCCCCTCCCTCAGCGCACGCGGCGGTGCGTCGCGACGCGCCTCGGCGACACATAACAACTAATCTTTGGGTAGAAAACTCAGGGACGGTTCGCTCTGGAGGGCCAGTTTCTGGTGGTCTTTGGGGAAGCGAGAAGTACAGAGTCTTCTGTGACATGCCATCCTGGTTACGAAAGTTTTGTTATAAAAGGTAAACCAATTGTCTGGTTTTGATGTTGTACCTGAAGATTAAACGGTGTCATCGGTTCGCTACATGCGAAATGCCACTGCATATTATGTTACGTTTATGGTGCATTGGCGACAAAATGTTTGAATTAGTTAACAGTTTCCACAAACGCATGAATAAGAAAATGAGCCGTAAACAGGGATGTGTAGTAAAATACAAGCGAGAGTTGGTATTTCGGGGATAAAATGATTTCACTTAAAATACGTTAGTTTGCATTCGTCTTAACTCTTCTCTCATCATATTAGATGCATATGTGAAAATGAGTCGCGATGAATTCTGTTTATTGAAAAATATTCACTTCTATGAGGGGAAAATTACAAATATCTTTCTGCCTCTCGTTTAAAGCATGTACACAGTCTTTTCGCAATCAAAGGCAAACTCATGCCTTTTTGAAGTCCTTCAGAAATAACTTATACATGGAGCAGGATATTTTTTCCATATTTTTCGATATTTTTGGTTTCCATTAAAAAAATAAACACTGTGCAAATAGAGGTCTTACATTTATAGCTTTAATAGGTTATGCTTTGTTTATTACTTATGCCACAGTACTATAAGAAGGTACGGTTTTCAAAGAAATAACTTGTATTCCATTTCATTCATAGTAGGCAATAGACAAACACGTCAGAATGATGCACGTCTCAAACTCAAAAAGTGGACACCATGAGTCAATAGTCTGTATGTTGCTTTTTTTTTCTCTCTCCAAAAACTGCAAATACAGGCATATCGACCCTTTTTGTTCACTTAAAAACGCCGAGAATGAAGAAATAGTCTGTACGTTTCATAAATATTTCGAGTACACATTAGAGGATAACATATAGAAGCTGTTATATCCATCATTCGAGTTCGTTACAGACCGCTGGGCGCGCGTGTTATTCAGACACAGAGTTGTTCTTCACAGCGCACTAGTGTTAGGCGACCACCAGCAGAGACACACGCAAATATTAACGTAGAGGTGCGACGAGCGGTGGTGCGCTTGGCCCGTGCTGCATTGCGGCTGGATATTAGCCTGCAACAAGGCAAAGGAGCCAAAAGAAATCCGCTTCCGGACAGGCGAATCGCCTGGCGCGCTTCGTCAACGGAACGCAACACTAATTTAAACCGTAGTGCTTCGAGGTCATCGCCTGGACGGAAAAGGGGGAAAAAAAAACCCCCTCACTGTCACCCTATCGGGAGGTTAGTTTATGATTACTTTTTGTATGCGGAGCTCCCGATTGGATGCA